GCCCAGCAGGGAGCTCTGTGGGAATGAGGGTGAGGGGTCTGCATCGGGCCCTCCCCGGCAGCGAGGGGAGGGCCGCGGGCGCGGGGGCGGGGTGACTCGGAGGACACGCAGGAATTCAGGAAGTGGACCTTCAGCTGGGGGGCTGCTCCGTCCCCAGCCCAGGCGCAGAGCTTTGAGGAGGGGCTGGCGAGCTGCCCCTCCCCCACCAGACGCCTGGGGAGGTCCCCCTCGGCCCCCCACCTTGGCTTCCCTGTGATTCGGTTGCCCCTTTTCTTACACAGTTGGCCTCGCCCCATTGTGCTACCGCCCCCATGCATGGAGACCAGAGAAGGGGGTCTCCTGGGCACCCCCCAGCCTGGGACCGACCTCCCCACTCTCCTGGGCAAGGCCCCACGTGACCCAAACAGCCTGTGCGCTCCGGCAGAGAGGACTTGAGCAGCCCACCTTTGCTGCACGTCCTCACAAGGGGCCCAGAATGGGGGCGGCCCCCCTTTCCGTGGGCTTCTCGTGCTGGGAGCCCCCCACTCCCACCCCGGGGGCTGGGGCGGGGAGCAGAGCCTGGAGCACTGCCCCCCACCCCATCCCTGTGCTGTTGGCTGCTGCCTGGCCCTGTGGGGGTCTGTTTACTTTGCAGGAGAGCATGAGACCCAGGCTGTGCAGCCGGAGGCTGGTGGGGAGGGGGCTGTGGGGGCTGGGCAGCTGCCTGAGGGGCCTCGCTCCCCGGTCCCTGCTCTGTGGCCCACAGGTCGCAGCCCAGACCCCCCCCCGGCCACCCAGGGCCCCCCACAAGCAGGACCCATCTGGTCAGTTTCTCTCAGCATCTGGTTTTCCTCCAGGGCCAGCACGTTGTCACCTCAGCTCCAAATGCACCCCTTAAGTGATCTCACTGCAGGGGATGCCTGGCCAGGCCCCTCTCCCCGGAAGGAGCTCCAGTACACCTCTGAGGTTGTCCCTGTGTCTTCTGGCCTCTGTGTGGCCTCCACTGCTCTTGGCCCCCAGCAGGAGGACCGAGGCCTAGGTCTTAAAACACAGTGGAAGCTAAAGAAGCCAGGCCCTTAAAGGCAGCTCTGGGGTGACCGTGAGCTCGGGGCTCCCCTCCCACCTCCCGACCTCCACGCGCTTCTTAGCTGTGAGTGGGTGAGTGAGTGAATGAATGAATGAACAAATGGCCGGTGAAGCAGAAATTCGGAGAGTCCGCGTGGCCGGCCTGCCCCTGGCAGTTAGGAGTCAGCTCAGGCTTGGGCGGGTGGGGGGTCTGGGCAGGCGGGCAGTGGCGCCGTGGCGGCCCTCACGTCTCCCAGGGCAGCTTGATGGAGGTACAGATGCTGACCTGAGTGCGTATCTGCCACTACGATCGATTTCAGGGCATGTTCACGTTGCCCAAGCGCGGCCCCGAAGGCCTCGGCCGGCACTGCCCGCCCCCCGCAATCTGCCGTCCATCTCTGCGGATCTGCCTGTTCCGGACATTTCTTAGATACGGACCGGACGCGTGTGGTCATTTATGACTGGCTGCTTTCGCTCAGCAGGATGCCCTCCAGGGCCGTGTGCCTGAGGACTGAGTCACACTCCATGCAGGTGTGGCCTGCAGAGCTGCCCGCTGTGGGTGGGCATGGTCGCTGCCCGCTCCGGTCAATGGCTCTGGAGGTCTGGAGGGTCTCTCCAAGCCCCTCAAAGTCCCTGAACACTAGAGAGAGATGTGCCACGTCCTCGGACAGTCCCCGCTGCAGAGGTCTGGACGGGCCGGTGCCCCAAAGGGCACGACATCCACGGAGCTTCCAGCTGGGTCGGGGGTCAGGGTTGGGGGCGCCCACTTCAGCGAGGCTGGCCCTGGGAGGGGGTTGCCGGGCCCCGCCCCTGTGCCTCTCTGCTTCCCCAAATGCTACACTCAGCTCTCAGCCTCAGAAGTCCTTGTCTGCCCAGGTTTGGTGGCTGTGCTCGTGGGCGCCGTGCCCCACCTGTGGCGGGAGGAGGGAGGCGGGGGCTCGAGATGACCCCCAAGCGGCAGTGCATGTGTGTGTGCGTGCATGGGGGCGCCTGTCCCATCTTTGTAACGGACTCCAAGTCCCTTCGGGGCCCAGAATCCACCCTCGAGCTGTGCCAGGATTGTCCCCGGCCTCTGGGATGCCTCGGCTCCCTGGGCTGAAGGGGCGAGGGCCTGGTCTTTGGCCCAGGGACCCATCTCAAGTTCTGAACCCCACAAGGCTTGTCTCCAGATGCCCTGAGACCCCCGTGGAGACATGAGGGCCAGCGGTCTGGGGGGCGCCCCGCACGGGACCACTCCCCACGTGAGTGGCCTGTGTAGCATCTGCGTTTACTCCTTCCTGGTGAGATCATCCCCAGCTCAATCCCCAAAATCACTTCATTATTTCTCTGTAAATAGGGCTTTTCCTAGTCAAAATAATCAGCATTTTTCGCTGCTCGCACATCTGGCTTTGATCGGCCCCCGCCTCGTGGGGTGGACGCTGGAGCTGACACTGTGGCGAGGAGGGCGGGGCCTGAGTTCCTTCCCGCGCAAGGCCCTGGGCCCGCCCCGCCCCCCACCACTGTGCTCACCGCCCGGGCTGGCTCTGGGGGGGGGTCTCTGGTTCTGCCTTTTCGGAGTTGGGGCCGTGGGGGCACCCCTCCACAGAGATCCCCCATGACTCGCCTCCTGATGTCTGTCACCCCCAGGACAGAGCTGGTCACGTGGCCCTTCCCTCCGGACCCTTCGCCGTCCCCTCTCACGGAGAGGCATGACAGGGAGGGTTCCTGACCGCCCCCCACACCACCGTGTGGAGTCAAGTGAGGCGGCCCCCCCATAAGGCGAGGGCCTGCAAGTCAGAGGCAGGCCAGTTCCTTCCGGCTTTGAGAAGCTCGAGGCTGGGAGGAGGCTGGTCGATCGGTCCCCACTGTCCCTCCCACACGGGCACCCGGACTCAGCCCCTGGCACAGCCCTCAGGCCCCTACGGTGTCCCCAGTTTGGGGTGGCCTGTGGGCAGAGGTTGGCCCCGTCTGCCCGGCTGCCCTGGTGGCCCCGTCCCTTCAGCCCTGCCGGCCGGGGTCCTGGGGGGTGGCAGCTGTTGTGTTGGTGCTGGGTGCTGGGTGCACAGGGCTCGTGCTGAGGGGAGGCTGGGCACACTGCGGAGTTGTGGGTAGAGAGGCTGCTGTGTGCACAGCCACGAAAGTGCCCGGATGTCCTCAGAATCGACGTTGTCCTTGAGATCTAACCAGCACGGGTGCGTGGACATGGAGGCGGGCACCAGGGGACCCCGTGACATTCCATACGGTGCCGGGGGCAGCCGGAGGATGGCCCCTGAACCGGAGGCCTGGCCCCGAGTGACTGCTGTGGCCCACTCGAACGGACCTGGTTCAGATCCTGGGTGATAAGCACGGGGCGATGGCCGTGGGGGCAGCGCACGGGCGCTCTGGAGCGTGCCCCCCACCACCTGGCCGGGGAGCCTGACGAGACTCTGGAGAGAGGGCCTCAGAGAGGCGGAGGACCCCACGCTCGCCTCTCGCCTGGCAGCTGCGGGCGGCCCCCTCCCCGCATCTGGGGGAG